ATCTATAAATGCGTCCGTCGTGCGTATAAATATAATATAATATATTTTTATATAGATAACTATGCGGCTGAGGTCGGTGGTATTAATCCGTCTAATAAAAGAATAAATAAATAAATATAATAATCAAAATCGCGTGTCGATCGTAATAAAAAAAAACGTGCGAACAGTTCGTGACCGTTAACCATTATTATACAGTTGTGTTATTAACGGAATATTTTAGATTTAAAAAAACTCAAGACAATAATATTATAATATACACATGTAAGCGGTATAATGTATGTATCTTACGAATTCAGAGTCTAGGAATCGTGACGAAGAGAATTGTATCAACTTTTGCGATCGTATACTCATTAAACGCAAAGCTCAAGTTGAATGATGACTTAATACATTTCAGAGACGTGTCATACGCTTACATTACAATATTATTATCGGTGTTTGAATTTACATCGATAAACAATGATTTTTATTTTTTATAACAATCGTCTTCACTTAGGAACACGGTTTTTATACTTGCCAAGCATTTCAAAGTTTAGACGGGTAATATTATAATATTGTTTTGGATGGTTGCGGATAAGTGACATGGTTTTTAACCATATATAGGTGCTGATGGTGACTTCACACAGTCTTCGTTTACGTCTCACTGAGTTGAAACACCGACCACGATTTGAGGATGATACCATACAGGGAGCTTCAAGGGAGACCATTTCTGACATTTTATAGATCTTACAAGGGTACAAACCGAATCTTTAAGTAGCTTAAGTAAGCTCATAACAAGTTGTGGTAAACTGAAATAGTGCGTAAAATAAACCAAAGTGAAGAATACGCAACAAGACATAAAATATGTACCCATATAGTATTATTTTGTAACTTAGAAACATCGTGCTTGTTTCGGGGTGTCTACACAAAATCGATTAAATTTCAACAACGTCCACTGATCACAGCTGTTGTCAAAATATTGATCGTTTTGTACAACCCGCACCGAGAGAAAATCGATAGATAAAAGCTCAAAGTCGCTCTATACAATTTGGACTTGCTACAAATCTGTACCAATATTAATTTATTCATGGTCTGTATTCACTGCAGAGTCAGGTAATGTAGAAGAGACTAACGACAGCTTCACTGAATAATCTAAATTGGAATTCGGTCAAGATCGAACGGTAAGAAAATCATGACTCTAATAATAATATATTATGAGATCTCATATATTATACAAAATCGTTGACTAGTTTATTATCTGCAGCAGTTCTGATTCCTATGACTGACCTATTCAAAGCCCCATACAACTATAAAATGGATTCAATGACCCGGTACCCGGTGATTCAAACACAAATGCTCGGTTTAACTTTACAAGCATATATTATTCGCTTTATTTTTTTATAGGTCGATTATCTAATATATAGACCGGGATCACATTAAGCGGTGCTCATTGTATTATGACAATAAAAATATAAGATTGTAGGTTCCGCGGACTAGCTTACTGAACAATATCAAGGGGCCTGCTCGCAGAAGACGGGCCCGACTTACGTATAGACACCTCGGCAGACGATATAATAATATATATATCTGTTGTTCGTGAAATATTGTTATACAACCTTTATAATAATAATGATAATATACGGTTACAGTCAAGCGAAAAGGTTTTGCCGACCAGAACGGCTGAGGTTTGTGTTTCGGTCCGCGGGAACGGAGGCCGCGAGAGACGAATAAATAATAATAACATTAATACGATTTCCTATATCATGCAGTTAGTATAGACATATTATGATTATAATATACCTACGCGTCGTTCACATAATATGTTGGAATGTTTTTTAATAATATTATTATTTTGTACCAATAAACGCGTCTACATGCGCCCAAACTCCTTTCTGGGGAAAGTGCTTACGATATAATGTTTAATAATAATCGCACCGGGTGATTATTGTTGGAGATAAGAAAGAGCACAGAGTTTGCGTATCAAGTCAGAGTGTGAAGAATGTGCACGCGTTTCTGTCATGAAAAAAAGCATAAAAAAAGGTATAAAAAATTTCGAAATTGTGGTAACAAATTTAGATAGGTAAAAACCGACGGCCATTGGTTAAAATGTCCTGTGTCAGTACGCAAAGTTACTTCAGAACCAGTGGAATCAAAAATTTTGATTTTGGTGCGTCAGAAATGTCTTAAATAATATGGAAATTATTATTTAACACTGGTTAGAAATATATCATAATATGATAATATGTTGATTGAGCGATGCCGAAATAAATTATGTAATCCGGATGCAAGTATAATGAACCTGCAACTGTATGTCTGTGTATTGTGATGACACCTCCGACCTCGGCTTGTTGACACATTCGATTTAAAAAACTGTAATGATGATAGCTTCTCATTAGAAAAAAAAAAAGGTTCGCTTAAGCCAAACTCACCAATGTTCAATACATTAAAAATATCGTTCGTCGGTGGTGTTCGAATTGAATGACTGGAAAAGCTGAAAGTCACTTCTCCAAAGTTCAGAACAAATTTCTGAAAGCGAAAAGCAGACCACGATACCTAAGAAGGAGTCTGCTCGTACCGGCTAAAATGATTGGGTTCACTCGAACAATTTATCCAAGAGAAAAATTCAGTTCAACGGCCATGTGCACACTTGATTCATATACCAACCATGCTTACAGACATTTTTCAGTTCAATGATGCACAATTACTTTGACTTTGATTTTTAATTGTATATTTCATATTTTAAAATATTTACACAATATACTTGACGCCATTTAACGAATGTCCTGTGGCGATACAAACAAACAAACATCTTATTTCCAAATAAGGACCAACTTTATATTAATACATATTATAAATCGAAATACGGACGAGTCCTTCCTGAGTTAGGTTATATAATAACCAAGGATAGTCTATGGCAATTAATGAAAATATATTATAATATAATAATATATTAATACCATAATATTTAAAAATATATTTAGATTTTGATGATTTTTAAATGATTGTATTTATATAAAACATTGCATAACGTCTTGTAACAACTGCAGTGGTACGAGTATAATAGTTACCAAAATAAATTTATAGTTAGTTTAACAAATTTATCATTCGAATTTTGATTAAAATGCATCAGCATTTTTACAAAAAACACGTGCTAAACAATTTACAAGCAAAAAAAGTGGTTTTCGTTGGAAAAAGAGTATTAGTATTTGAACCACCTGCAGAGGACACGTCTTCTTTAATGAAATATAAATCTAATAATATTTTAACAATTTACTATGGTCTCTAAGTAATACTTAAAAATGCCTAAAATTAGAATTTGAATAAAATAATTTTTGTTAATATGTACAATTATTTTCGTTTCGACATTTCGTGTACAGCTGTGTATTCGCCACTTCGTACGCAATACTCGTGATTATATTATTATTGTGATATACGCCACGTGGGATAAGTAATAGCAAGTACGATACTATGTAATAATATTATAATATTATCATCATGACTACGTATTCGCGAGGTTTTGCGGCAAGCTTTGCGGTTCGTTCACCACCGATCGCGAGCGCGTTTGCGACTCCATTGAAATCAATAATTATTAGAAGGGTTTTCACCGATTGAGTCATAATAAAAAATTGTATTATTAGCTCTCGCGAATCCTGCTCGTAACCTTGACCGGACCGGAAAACGTAGACGATAATAATAATGAATAATGTTGGGTGGAAACATAATATTATTATTGTAATACATCGTACTCGTTTATTGTGCCGCCGAACGTACATCACGTGCGAGATATTCGAAACTATTAATTTGAAAACGAAAAAAAAAAGAACAGTAATTATGCAGTACGGGCAATAAGCGTTGTCCATACTGTGGTTCTGTGTAGGTTACCTGACGTGTAATAAAGACGCAACACGCGACGATAAATAAATAAGATTTGTTTGTGGATATGAAAAAAATGAAAAATGTTTTCGTCGTGCGATGATCGCATCCGTCGTGCTTCGTCTCGTACGCATAGTTATCCTTATAGTATAAAATACCAATAGAGTAATAAAATTACTATAAATTATACTCTATGAGTATACCCCGCGACAACCATACCTACACTACAATATTATTATTGTAGATGTTGTTGTTGGGTTTTTCACCGACCAACTCGAAAAGGAAAAACCAAATGTCGTAACCCTTTTTTCGTGACGGTGATATTCGAACAGCGACGTTATAAAAACCAAAGATCCGCCAAAAGTTGTTTAGTCGTCCGTTTGAAATCCTCGACGTGTTTTTAAGTGTTATTGTAATATTATTTTTTTCGTAGTCTAGTTTTGGCCGACGCCATCTTCGTATTTATCGCCAGCCCGTCAGTGTCCGTCTTATTTCGTCTATGAACTTAAACGATTACTCCACTTATAATTTCTTCCAAGACGATACAAGTAATAACAAATGTACAAACTTTATTTAAATATTTGAACCAGAATCATTTAGAAACCAATTTATCAACAATAGGGGATTTTAGAAAAATGCACTAAAAAAAAAAATTAAATACGCATGCATTTACTGTACACTCGAAAATGGGAAATTAACTAAATAATAATATTATGTACAATAAAATATGTAATGAAATAAATTCAAAACCGTGGCTAAGACGAGACGTAAACATTTGAGGAAATAATTACTGTAGTGACGTACTGGACGTGTGCCAATCGCGATTAAACCGATGAACCGATATTAAGTTGAAGTCCATAATATACATATTATATCGAAGTAAATCAGTTGTTATCCTAACATGTTCGTTTCGTGTTTTTCAAGTCGACGATTTCGAAAACGACCATTTTAAATGTTAACTGCGACGGGGATTATAATATACCACCTGTACCTAAATCGTTTAACCAACTACAGCTATAATTATCTAACCTAACTTAATGTGGCACCTGTATACCTATACTAACCAGTAGCAAACTTTTCGTGTTTTTTCAGACGATATAATAATAATATAAGAATATAACGACTGCAGCAGCTCACGAAAAGCATCCAGGATGAGCAGCAGTTGCAACTGCCCGGTGACCCAGCCGGGACCCACTTTGGCCAGCACGTGCGGTGGGTCGGCGTTCATGTTGTTCATGGGCCTGTTGGAGGTGTTCATCAGGTCGCAGTGCGACATCGAAGACCCATGTGGACGACCAGGGAATGTGGCGTCGCCGGACAAGGAGTACGACTTCATCGTTGTGGGTGGTGGGTCGGCGGGCAGCGTGATGGCCAGCAGACTCAGCGAGGTGATGATCATAATATTATATTAAATCAATAATGCGTTATTGTATTATAACAATACCGTAACCCTCAAGGATGACGAGTTGCATTTAAATTATTACAGAATCCCAAACTGTTAAATCTTTGGTTATCTGGATAATGCGGACTCGAATCTTTTCAAACAGTCGACGTGTTTTATCTTTTTTTTTTCATTTAAAAAATTAACTGTAAGTGGCATTTTCTATGGTCTGAAGACTCCTCAGACGTACAGTACCTCTCTGATAACAGTACCCCTTTTAAAAAAGTGGCCTGACCTATACATAGGACTCGGCGCCACTGCGGGACACAATAAGTAAATTCGATTTTAAATAATTATTATTGAAAAACAAATTTCATGAGAAGGGAAAACTCATCCATTCATCGATAAAACCCACAATTGTCCACAAGTGTAAACTTTCAAATAAATAACAGCCAAATCTGCCTTAACTGCTAACGTAAATGACTAAAAATTGTAAGTTTTTCATGATAGTAAAAAAATTTACTGTCACACTCACACATTGTGAACATGTTTTTAATAGAACAATTCGAATTTCTTAAGGTTATATTACTATAAATTATATCGTTGATGTGAGCTCTTAGTTTATTTATGCCCAATGTTGTTGTTTTTTCAAAATAAAATGAGTGAGAATTCCGATTAGTACCGTTTTCAGACACCCTTCCAAACACAATTGTATTTCTTTCGAGGTTTTAATAGTTTTTTTTTTTCATTACTCCTTCAGGTACCACAATGGAAAGTTCTGTTAATCGAGTCGGGTGGCGATGAACCCACCGGCACACAAGTCCCGTCAATGTTTCTGAATTTCTTGGGTTCGTCGATCGATTGGGGTTACAATACGGAACCTGAGGAAATGGCGTGCTTAAGCAGCCCGGAGAGACGATGCAACTGGCCCAGAGGAAAGGTAACGTACTAACGAGTTTATATTATTATTGTGTTGTTCTTGCGATGTTACAAATTGATTTTGTCGAACACGAAAGTTCCTGGATTAAAAAATATAATCATTAATTACTAGAAATAATTGCTGCGATGGCGTATTTTTCAAGGCGTGAAATGAACACGAGGAGCACATATTATTTTCTTTTCGAAAATTAATTAGTGACGTAGGTAGATACGAACTATATAGCAGACTTACGGCGAGTTGCGTAACATAAATTGTAATTTATATGTTTTTAACGAGGGATAGTTTCAAAATCAGCGCTGACCCTTGACGAAAATCAAGATCAACAGTATAGTTTTCTACTTATAACAAACGATCGCGTAATATTGAACTATTATAATATTCATAACTAAACACGAAATAATATAATATAATAACCTGCCTAATTAAATAACAAATTATAGTCACACGTATATGCACGCGTACAGACTGGCGGATGGATTAGTTTAAAATTAAACTCAGCTGTATATAATCTGCATTCTGCAATTTATTACACCTGATATTATTTCCTTATATATATCGTAACAAAACCGGAATTACTGATACACGCGGATGAATGAAAAACGCATAATTTATCATAATAATTATTACTATAAACACATACGCATTATAATAATAATATATAGGTTAATAAAATAAATTGCTATTTAGGTAGGCGACTATTAATAATATACACCAACACATATTTAATCATCCAGTAGTGGTATCAATAATGTACTCACGACTCTATTTCAATTATAATGTTATTAATATAACACGATTACTCGGCGAATCGGTGATAATAACATAGGTAATAGGTATATACAACGAAAACCGCTTATAACAAGCGGAAAATGGATTTATTATTTGTTTGATTCGTTCAAAGTGTTTAATAAACTATTTTATCACGAAATACATTTTTAGTTTCAATGTACTATGCTGTCATTCAAAAGAGAAAAACACTTATATAACATTTATAACGATAAAAAAAATAGTAAAATTAATATTATAAAATTACAACAAAATAACTAAAATTATTCTTGGTTATTTAATATTTAATTTCGTCTAAAATTGAACATAAAATGACTCCGAAAAAAACTGCGTTTTTTTTATTTCTGAGATTTTTTGATTACAGAATAATGTAATTATGTGGAACATCGTTTAAAATGTTCAGCTTTTAGCTATAAAAATTGAACATTTTATAAATTTGTAACTACAAAACCGTTTTTAAATTTTAAATTGTAGTCAAAATTCGAACTTTAAATGATTATAAAAAAATTGTGCCTATGTATTTTTAATATTTTTCAACTACTATTGTAACAATATATCAGGAGTCTTGTGTTAATATTTAAAACTTTTTGACCCAACGAATAAAATTTAATTGACATTTATAGAAAAAAGGAACTAAAAAAATTGGAAAACGTCAGTAAACCGCTCCAAACAAGTCGAAATATTTTGAAAATTAAATCGTGTATAGAAAATGCTAATATATAAACATTCAGTGAAAATTTGTATCCTGTAACTACGGTTTTTTGTTTTAGTGTTGCACCAAAAACCAAAATCGATTTTGTCGAAAACCGGTTTAGCGAAAAATTACCGTTTTTCCTTAATTTTTGTTTTGTTTTTCCCTGCTTTTTTGAAAACTATTAAGAATTTTGACCTCTTGAATGCACCAACTAGATTCACTTTCCCATTGAACAAGATACTGTTGAAGAAAATCGATGTAATGTTATTACTACCCGAAACGGTGTAGATAGACACAAAAAAAAAATACACACACATCATTGTAAAGTAATTAGATTCTGCGTGGAGCAATGAATGTATTGACATTCATTTTTCCTCTCAGAGTCTAAAAAAGATCATGAAACATCTTTTGATGTGGAAATCAGATAGTAATTTATTACTGTCGTTTCATTTTAAAATATTTTATAAGAGATATTTCCGATAAATTGCTTTTTAAACGATACACATTAATTGATTACCTATATAAAGCCTATTCGGTTCAATGGTTGCAGTACCGAAGTGTAGTTGTAATAATAACACTAATGTTATTACATTAAAATCTCTTATAACTATCGATTTGCAAGACCACTGGATCTACTATAAGGACAAAATGCATTAATTGTAATTTGCGTGTTATTAAATAGTTATTTTACTAGTGACTTGTTGACGTTTGCAAAGCATCAAAATTTTGATCTACTAACATAATAAAAACAACCCAAAATTAATACATTCCTTTACTCGAAGACCAATGTATAAATAGCATGAGTAAAAAAATCGTTATACAATATTTAAAAAAAAAATAATTTTAAATATGCGGATAACGAGTGATTACACGAAGGTCACGGATAATATAGAGTTATACCTACACAGAATGTATTTCTATAAAAATAGAATTTATTTTAATATAATTACCTATTGCCTATAGTAGATATTATTATATATTTTTTAATTTTAATGCAATATTATATTTTTAAGAAAGTCGTCCAAAAGAAACGGCTTTTCGCGATATAGTGTTGCAATCGCAAGTACCTATTTATTATATTACTCTAAAAGCCTTGACTTTTCCGCTTTATTTTTATTTTCATATAGATATACTATACAGTATAATATATATTATCTTTTTAATGAATTAATGGGCGGATATTATATCGTTAACCTTCGTAGGATCGTAATATATTTTTAGTATTCCGTTCATAATAATATAATTCCGATAGACTTGCCCTACAAGACTTACCTATATTTACGCGTTTTCGATGAGACTGGAGTCACGACGGCGTCTGCAGCTATCGGTGTTTTTATTCAAACATTCAGGTCAGGTAATTTTGCAGTATCCAATGAGGTTTTTGAGCTATAGCTGATCATTGGTCCATAAACCAGCCGAGGTTGTGTGGTTTTCTGCGGATTCGTGTTTGCGAGTATAATTTTTTTTTTCTCAAACCACCGCTTATAATATAGTTTCGTGACGGAAAAAAATTGAATGGCAACTGATGACGATCTGCACTACATAAAGGCGCATTATACAGAAACCTGTAAAATCTGAACGACATATCTTAGACTGTTCGTTTGTTCGTTTGCTGGGCTATGTTCAACGAATTCGCGAGTCGTGACGTGAGCTGCTTTATCGGTTTTAAACAGTCCCATAAACACGTTTAGATCATATTGGTACAAAAAATACGGTTACCCACCCGGGTATCCTATGATTTAATAATGCATTTCCCGATCAAAACTTGATAATATTATTTACTTAACATTAAAATTTAAAAAAATCCACATTTGGTAACTCAATGCCATACATCGTAATTCAAACAGACTGATGAAAAATACGTAAATTAACCATAAGTTATACATTAAAATAGATTTGCTATTATATAATATTGGACCCATAATAATTATCCACCATCGTATTTAAAGTTTAATTGCTCTTGATCAAGCATTGCAGTTGTGTCGTTCCTAATTAGAAACTATTAATTAGAATTTTCACTCTCGTGAACGATACGACAAATGGAAAATCGATAACTTTTTTTATCAAAAAAGATACGTAAGTGTTGTCATAAAAGTTACAACCTACGGTGATTCACAATCTATATGCATAAAAATGAATGTATGTCTGTCTGTCTGTACGTCCACATTATCATGGCAACCATTTATATATTATTTTGAGATTTCCGATGGAATTTTTCGTATATAAATGATTGCCATGCTAATGTGTAAAACATATTATTCATACAGAGTTGGCATTTTTAATGGGAAACGAAGTGCTGGATCAGCTAGTATTATATAAATTCGATGCTATTTACTTTCCAAATGTATTCATTCTTTAATATTATTATAAAAATAAAAAACACTTTCAAACCGATGATGATATATACTCGAAACTCATAAGTTATAATATACTATTATAACATCGATGTGTAGGTACGCTTTTGTAAACATACGAACATTACTGTAAAACATAATTAATTATGACTCAATGCTGTACGACTCTGAACACTTTCATATTATTAAAATTAATTAATATTGCACATTAACGGGAAGAATTATTATTTTATTAGCATGATTCAAGACAAAATGCGGTTTGTTTTATAACCATAGAAAATATAAAAAATGATTTAGATAGGTACACTGCAACTTTATGTCCAATAAGATTCGTTAGAAAACACGAAATCTTCGTGTTAAATGTTTCTCAATCACAATCGGTGCCAAATGAATATTATTTATTTTTGCATAGTATCCATCATAAAATATATATCATGCACTGTTGGCGGAACATTTGGGGGCTTCCGATAATCGTGGTCTTAGGAAGGTATCCTCTGTCACGCTGCATACTTAATTACTTCACGTCGTGTCGGCCCAGCTAGGTAAAACAATGATCTACGTTTTTTTTTTTTTATAGTAACATTTTACGGTTTTTAGGCGACATTCATGGTCGGATTAAAACGTGAAAACATTATTCTGCGAAATGCTGTTAAAAAATGTGTTTACCTTAATACATAAAAAAAAAAAAAACAATTTCAGTTCCTTGTTTGAGTATTATATCTGTATTATTCGAGTCGATTAAACCGCACGCGCTGCTCAGTTATGATATTAGGTAAGACGTATAACTAGAACAGAATATACCGTTTCATAGTGCACGACCGAAATCATCAAACGTCTAAATTTTGTACGGCTGTTATTAAATTTTGATCGTTTTGTCAGAACTCTGGGCGTGTGCATGATATACTGATGAGTGACGTGGTAGACGGTCACTATTTGTACGATTAATTAAAAAAAGGCAAGACTCCGGACTCGGACACTTTGTGTAATCGGGAAGACATTGTGTACATCGCAGAACACTTTGTACTTTTATATACGAATTACCATACACTGTATATGAAGTGTACAATAATATGTTATGATAATTTAAAGGTCTGAAGTCATGACAAATAATTATATAAAAAATGTTATAAAGTTCGATCAGATTATTTCATCGTTGTACGGAATTT